AAAAGCAGAGACATCACCTTGCCAACAAAAGTCCGCATAGTTAAAGCTATGGTTTTTCCTGTTGTGATGTATAGAAGTGAGAGCTGGACCATAAAGAAAGCTGACTGCTGAAGAATTGATGCTTTTGAATTGTGGTGCTGGAGGAGGCTCTTGAGAGTCCCCAGGACTGCAAGGAGAACAAACCTATCCATTATAAGGAAATCAACCCTGAATGCTCACTGGAAGGACAGATCCTGAAGCTGAGGTTCCAATACTTTGGCCATCTCATGAGAAGAGAAGACTCCTTGGAAAAGACCTTGATGTTAGGAAAGTGTGAAGGCAAGAGGAGACGGGGACAACAGAGGATGAGATGGTTGGACAATGTCACTGAAGCTACCAGAATGAATTTGACACAACTCCGGGAGGAAGTGGAAGATAGGAGAGCCTGGCGTGCTCTGGTTCATGGGGTCACGAAGAGTTGGGCACGACTAAACGAACGAACGAACAATAATTTCAAAATTATTCAGTACAGTATTAGGAAGATGTCTTCTCACATTTAAAAGGGTAGCTGTAGAAGAGTTAACCATGTTAACCTCTGCAAGCATATCAGGCAAAATCGAAAGGAACAAAACAAGACAAAAATTTGTGACACCTTAAAGACTATTATATTTTAATGTGAGTTTTCTTTTTGATTTTGCCTTATATATTTTAGCAGGGTAGAATGGCACCAGCATATGTCATCTGGGAGGCAGGATAATTCAGCGGATGTAGTTTCTTGCATATCCTGCCTGTTTCATTGGAGGATACATTTAGTTCAGGCATTAACTGCTAGGTAGGTAAATTTTCATGGGTAGATTTTTATGGGATTCATTTTGATCTGGAGCAGGAATTACAGTTATGGTCCTGCTCATGCTACTTGGTAAGTGTTGTTGGAGCTTAAGTGGAACTCATAAGATTTGGTTGAGGAGAAATATAGAAGAATTGTAAGATATATGGACTTTAATATCAACAAGGTAGTCTAATCATTAGGATCTGTATTGTGTTCTCTAACAGGTCCCACTAATTCAATGCATCTGCTCTAGCTGGAACTGAAAATTGGACTTACATCTGCTTATTTAAACAATAATAGATCATAAAATCATGATGAAACATAGGACAAGAATACAGTATGTAATTTTTTTAATGAGTAGCCAGTTTTATTCCTAAAAAGGAAAGGGTAACCTATTTGAGCCTTAACTATATTATTACAACTTGACTCTAACTTCAGAACTAGTATTGGTAGCATCAAGATAGCAAAACATGTTACTGTACAAATAGTTTGATAATTTTCTCAGTTCAAATTTAAGACTGCAATACACCTATTATGGGTGTAAATCCCACTGGACACAGTAAGTTTTGTGTGGTGTGGATAGGACTGTGACTGCTGAGATTCTCACTAGTACCATGAGTAGGAATGGAGGAATCAGTATCGGTGATTAAGTTCAAGTAAAGTTCAGACAACAAAACTGTGTATCTTAATACTCTACCCCACAGCACTTTCTCTGTAGCACTGAATTCAAAGTGTGGAAACCTCACATTTGCACACAAACTTTGTGAAAATTCAACCATACATTAGTGGATATTGCCAAGTCACCAAAATAAGATTTCTAGCAGTTGCTGTTATATCTTTGAAAACTGAAGAAATACATTGGATAATACCAGCGTTTCTGCAAGATACAGTGGTACCTTGACTTATGAACTTAATCTGTATTGGAACAGTGTCCATAACTCAAAATGTTTGTAAATTGAAGCACCATTTCCCATAGGAATGCACTGAAAAACAATTAATCCATTCCGGCCAAAGGAAAAAAACACACACAAAAAACACAAAACACTGCAAGCCCCATAGGAACACACCGGGGCTGCAATAAAATAAAATAAAAAATAAATTTAAAAAGCTGTAGAGAAAGGGAGCCTCAAAGGCTGGCCGAAGTGAACGGGGCCAGGGCCAGAGACCTGGCCGGGAAGTGCTCGCCTGCCTGTCTGCCCACCTCCTCCTGCTCCTCCGGAGCTTCCCTCACTCTGGTCAGAAAAAATAACCAAACAAATAAAAAAATTAAAAGAGCACAGCAAGCCCAGTTGGAAGTTGCTCCATTGCTGAGGCTTTAAGGGGAAAAAAATGCAAAAAACAGACACTAGAGCCACCTCCGTTGCTGAGGTTTAAGGGGAAAAAAACCTCCAAAAATACAGACAGACAGACACACACACGCACACGCACACACACAGAGTCACTCCGAAGCAGAGCAGAGAAACAAACCCTCCCTGCAGACACACACACAGGCTAACTCCAAAGCAGGAGGCTCTCCCAAGCCTCCAACTGCAACACACCCTATAACTGCCAAAAGAGCTACAGCACGAAGAAGCAGCCTTGTTGCCACCTACAGTTAGAACCTTGAATTGCCCGTCTTTTTTTCCTGCCTGTTTCTGTTCGTAAGTGGAAGTTCCGTTCGCAAGTCGAAGCAAAAGCTGCAACCGGAGCTGTTCGTAAGTTGAAATGTTCATAAGTAGGGATGTCAATAAGTCAAGGTGCCACTGTACAGTGGTACCTCGCTTAATGGGCGCTCCGTTTAGCGACAAAACCGCATAGCGATTAAGTTTTTGCGATCGCTTTTGCGATCGCATTGCGATGTTTTAAATGGGTTTTTTTCGCTTTGTGATGATCGGTTCCCTGTTTCGCTTACCGATCATCGCAAAGCGATTATTTTTTTTCACAGCTGATTGGCGGTTCCAAAATGGCCGCTGGGTAAAAAAAAATGGCCACCCGCTGTGTGTAGGGACAGATTCCTCACTTAAGAGGCAGCAAAAATGGCCGCAGTGTGAAGGATCTTTGCTTTAAGGTGAGTTTTAAGCCCATAGGAACGCATTAAACAGGTTTTAATGCGTTTCTATGGGCTTTTTAAAATTGCATAGCAATGAAATCGCTTAGCAGCGATTTTTGCTGCATGGATTAACGTCGCTTTGCGAGGCACCACTGTATCCTGTTCAAATATACTGCCCATATTTGAAAAGGAAAAAAAAACTTTCCTAGGGATTGCAATATTAAAATAGAATTGAATAAAATCCCCAAAATCCCCTTTTCAGCACAGAACCTTGAACAGCTGGACTTGCCCCCAAGCTTCCCACCTGTCATCCAGTACAATGACACGGTCAGTTATGAAGCCATCCGCTCTACTATATAATGTAATCATCACATTCAGGTGCAGGCACCAAATCTTTCCTCTACGTGCCTTAATATTTCTTATTCATTGGAGTCAGACATTAAATAATTGCACATCCCAAACAAGTGAGTGATAATGCTGTCAAAACAGTATGAAGAAAATCCTGTTATTTTCATTTGTAATTTCCCTTTCAACCATGGTAACTTTAATCCAAAAACCTAGAAACAGCTATGAGCATAAACATGCACACCTGCCTGTCATGCATTGGTTTTATGAATATAAAGTATTTGGCGGAAAGTACCTGGAGAAAATCCCTTCCTATAATTGCATGACTATTAAAGACATATCAAATAACCTCTATAACTGTAGTGTAAATGTTATAACTCACATATCAGTAAGCTAGATGTCTTTTTAACTTGGACCCCCTTTCTCAGAGGTTTGTTTGGAGGCATCTCATAGGCATTTATGGACAGACATGATGAAGAATAGTGTGTGTGGACACTTTTAAAGCCATGAGGTATGTGCCTGCCATTGTTATAGAGCAATACTGATCTAAAGCAAATACAGTGGTGCCCCGCATAGCGAGGTTAATCCGTTCCGGATTAACCTTCGCTGTGGAAAACATCGCACTACGGAACACA